AAACCACTGAATTGTACACTTAAAAATGTTGGATTTTATAGCATATGAATTATATCTCAATAAAAAATTACGTAGGAATAATAAATACCAAATTCAGAAGAGTCTTTATCCCGGGGGAGTGCAATTGTGGAGGGGCACACGAGGCCTTCAGCTATATTAGCAATGTTTTATTTTGCAAACTGGGTGGTGGGAATGTGGGTGGTTGTTATACTAATCCTTTCCCTTCTCGATGTTTTCATAATAAATACAATTTAAAAGTATTTACTGAGGGGCGCCTGGGTGGCTCAGTTGTTGGGCGACTGCCTTCGGCTCAGGTCATGATCCTGGAGTCCCGGGATCGAGTCCCGCATCGGGCTCCCTGCTCGGCAAGGAGCCTGCTTCTCCCTCTGACCCTCCCCCTTCTCATGTACTCTCTCTCTCATATAAAAATAAATAAATAAATAAATCTTAAAAAAAAAAAGTATTTACTGAGCATCAACCTGGACCAGGCACAGGTCTACCTGAGTGTTTTAATGGTGGGTAAAATCAGACCCCATCCTGCCCAAAAGTAATGGACAAGTAGTAAGTGGAAAAGAGGGCCTATAAGTACGTCATCTCTCCTTTCTGGGCTTCTGTTTCCTCACGGATTGTTTTATTTTATTTTTTTTAAGTAATCTCTATCTCCAGGGTGCCTGGGTGGCTCAGTTCGTTAAGTGTCTGCCTTCAGCTCAGGTCAAGATCTCAGGGTCCTGGGATGGGGCCCTGTGTTGTCATTGTCAGGCTCCCTGCTCAACGCGGAGTCTGCTTCTCCCTCTCCCTCTCTCCCTCCCACCGCTCATGCTCTCTCTCTCAAATAAATAAAACCTTAAAAAAATAAAAAAATAAATTTCTACACCCAATGTGGGGCTTGAACTCACAACCCTGAAATCAAAAGGTACATGCTGTACCAACCGAGCCAGCCAGGCGTCCCTGCTCGTGGATGAAATGAGAGCTGGACTAGAAGTTTGTTAGTAAAAAGTCTCTGAGGGTACTGGGGGTGGAGGAGTGTGTCTTCCCTTTATCAGCCCACAGTTTCAAGAATTCCTTATGCACGATGAGAGCACAGGCCTGGAATCAGCCCTGGTGCCATCAATCATCACAAGTAGGCCTAACGCAAAGCCCAGCTGAATCTCTATTTCTTCTCAGTAAAATAGGGACAGTAACTTCTCCCTCCCAGGATTACAGTGGGGGGTGTAAATGAGATAACACATATAAAGTGTCCGAGACAGGCCTGGCACACAGTAAATCCTCAACACATGGGAGAGTCCTCACTGTGATTCCACAGGCATTTCCTGAGCAGCACTGCTGGGCCAGACCTGTGTTAGGGGGCTAGAAGACTGAGGAATTACACTCGATGGCCAAGCGATGGCCCCCAGCCAGGTGGGGAGACAGCCTCATAAACACCAATACCAGGCAGGGTGATGTCACTGCTAAAAAGAGACAGCAGCCACGTACACAGATGCAGACCAGGGGCAGTGCAGACTCCAGAACGAGAAAGAGCTGTCCCAATCAAGAGGCCCAGTACAGGCTTGGTGAGGGGAGGGGAGGGAGGTTACAACATATACAAAGCAAAGGGACTGGCCTCCATTCACATGCAAGGTAGCCCTCCTGGTCTTGTTTCACCTAATTCACACTCAAATGTTCCCACAAACCCCAAGAGCAGAGACTTAAACGGCAGCTTTGGGAGATCTGAGCTCATGGTAACTCCCCAGGTGCACGTGTGGGAGCACAGTGGCTGACTGGGGGAAGCTGCATGATCTCTGGCAAGTCAGGACACTTCTGCAAGCCTGCAAGTCGCCAGCTATAAAATGGAGAGAACAGTACTGACATCACAGAGTTGTGGTAAAAAATGAGATAACTGTAAAGCCATTAACCAAGTACCTGGCACAGATTAATAAAGATCCGTTATAGCTAGGAAAGAAAAGATAGATTCCATTTTCAACATGAGGGCAGTGGGATTCAGAGAGGCGAGAAGGCTTGCCCATAATCACACGGCCAGTTTTGGAGTCAGGATTTGAACCCAGGTCTGACACATTCAAAGGCTCACTGCATCGTAATCTCCCTCTGCTCCAGAATCTTTAGCAGACTCCCTGTAGTCCACTCAATGGAATCTATCCTTGCCATGGAGTGGGGAAGTAGCAAAGGCATGAGGCCAGAGAGACCTCGGGCAAGTTCCCCAACCCTGGGTTCCTTGATCTGGGGACCCCCAAGTGGGCCCAAGGAGGTCTGTGAATTTCTCCACATGGTTTGCAAAAAGTTTGTGTCTAATGGAGATTCTCAAAGGAGTCTATCGCCTCAAAAGTAACAAACCACTGACTTGACCTCAATTGGCAAATCTTCTTACCTACCAAAGGAAATACAGTACCTACCTTGAAAGGCTGTGAGGGGACTAAATGAAGTAGTTTATGAAAAGTACCTAAGGGCGCCTGGGTGGCTCAGTTGGTTAAGCGACTGCCTTCGGCTCGGGTCGTGATCCTGGAGTCCCTGGATCGAGTCCCACATCGGGCTCCCTGCTTGGCGGGGAGCCTGCTTCTCCCTCTGACCCTAACCCCTCTCATGTGCTCTCTCTCATTCTGTCTCTCTCGAATAAATAAATAAAAATATTTAAAAATAATTAAAAAAAAAAAGAAAAGTACCTGAAACATCCTAAGCTTTCAACTAATGTTGGTTTCCCTGCATTCCTCTCCCCAGCTTGTTTCTATCATTTAGCAAATGTTACTGAGCATCTACTATGTGGCAGGTATCATCCCAGGTGCTGGTGGTAAAGTGGTAAACAAGACACATATTGTGCCTGTTCTCATGGAACTCACATGGTGGAGAGAAACAGACAAAATTAATAATTTCAGATTCTAATAAGTGCTATGAAGAAAATACATACAATAATGTGATAGAGACCAATGGGGCGGGGATGGCATCTGAGGAGGAAACATGTGAATGACAAGAAGGAACCAGTTATGCCAAGATTTAAGGGCAAAGCATCAGGGCAGAGGGAACAGGAAAGACAAAGCCTTGCTTGAAAGACCCTTGGCCAAGAGCCCCTCACTCCCAGTTGCACCATAAAATGAGTCCCCTTGAGCAAGTCACAGAACTTTTGAGGCTCAGCTGTGACATCTACAAAATGGGAAGAAAGACACCTTACCTGCCACAATGTGAGGGGACTCAACCAAAGGGCTGTTAAGGTCTGGGATCTTCCCCAAGTCTCACCGATATACACCTGATACTCGTCATTTGGCACCCATCTTGGAGGAGGGAAACCTGCACAGAGAACCCTGGGTCATGATTTCTGACTTTTAATTTCATGCTGCACTAGAAATAGTTTCCTTGGTTCCCGGTTAACATGGTAGACTTCTGCGACTTGGGGCCTATTATAGTAACTGCTGCTTCAGACTCTCCCTCAGGTACAAAAGCAGACAAGGCAAGGACATCATAGAAACACTGTTGTGCCCATAACCAGACTACCTATCGCTTCCCTCCCCGCAACAAGATGGGAGAACTCAGTCTGTCCTGTAGACAGAGAATGTACAAGCTTTATTTAAGGAGCTGGAAACATCCTGGCCCCTGGGTTAGGCCACTGATTTATGATCATTTGCAGTTCTCCCTCCTAAACGTCTCTTAATCTGTCCCCTTCTCTCCAACTCTTCAGCCACTGCCTCACACCTTAACACCCTCTGAGCATGCTCTCTGGCCTTAGTATCCCCATTTCCAAAACATTTGCCACACTGCAGCCAGCACCTAACACATAAAATAGACTTTCCCTGGCTCAAAACCCTTAGACAGCTCCCCATCACTCACTGGACAAACGCCAACATCCTTAACCTGGAATCCAAGATTCCCTCTCCAAGACTGAGCTCCTAACACCCTGCTCAACCCCCAGGCCCTCCCTGGTATCTATACCAAACTCCTCAGTATCTCTAAAAAGAGCCTAGCCACACTAAGAATTATTTGCCTTTGCTGTTTCTGTTCTTACTACTTGGAACACTGTCCCCTTTCCTGCCTCTTACCTCCACGCTTACTTCCTTCACTGCTTACATATTCCTACCTACCCCTCAAGACCCCAAAAGCCTTCCCTGAGTCCCCAGAAAAGCACTGTTTACCAGTCTACCTTCTTAATCAGATGTGAAAGCTGGGGTTCTCTCTTAGTCATAGTTAACTTCCCAAAGAATAGACTGATAAATTCAGATTACTTTAACTAAAATTCATATGAGGTGCTTCACATTGAGAAGATCCTGTCATAACCCAGAAAGAAGGAACACTAAAAGAACTGGAGGGCTGCCAAGAGCTAAGGTGGGAATAGGAATCAAGAATCCGCATTCTCAAAAAAAAAAAAAAAAGATAAGAAGAATTTGCATTCTCAAAAAAATTTCCCCAGATACTGACACAAATGATATTGGCCATTTTGAGAAACACTGTGTCACCCTCAACATTCCCAACTTAAAAACTGCCGGAAAAGGGGCACCTGGATGGCTCATTTAGTAGAGCCAGCGACTCACTCTTGATCTCAGGGTTGTGGGTTCGGGCCCCACGTTGGGTGTAGAGAATACTTAAAATCTTTGTAAAAATTGCTGGAAAAATGAAAATGCTTTCCTTTGCCTCTACAGCTTTTCCAGCAGTTTTCCCGAGCTTAGAGAAATCAGGAGGTCTTTTCTGGGACTCAGCTGAATGGAAAACTTCTAGAAGCTTGGGCTCCAACACTGGCTCAACCTGGAACGTGCTGAGGTACCCTGCGCTGGTCTCTGCCCCTCTCTGGACCTCCGTTGTCACACCTAACCCCACAGTTTGTCCCCGAGGTAGTGACTGTCCCATTCTGGGTATCAGTTTCCCCATCTTACAATAGACGTCACCAGCTCTGACGCCCTACAAGCTCTGCAAACCCTTAACTCCGGGCGGACACAGCCTGACTCCTCCCCTCCTTCCCAAGGTCCCACCCGTCTGGGTCCAGACGACGAACCCCTAAAGCCAAGGCTGCCCTCACACGGACTGACCCTTCCCGGCCGCCGTCCAGCTCCACAGGCACGGGTCTCCTCCCCGCCCTGCTCTTTAGTCCCCGCTAGCGCGGCGCGCAAGCGCATTGGGTCGCAGCGAGGCCCCGCCCCCTGGACCTGGGGTAACTGCGCGAGGGGCTTGAGTACCGCGGAAGGCAGGACGACGAACTAGTAGGTTGGGGAGCGGCAACGGCGGCCGGCAAGGGCCACGTTTCCTAGAGAGGATAGATGTGAGGGAGGGGTCTGGCCAGTGATTGGAACCCTGAAGGCGGAGAGATGTTGCAACTCAAACTCATCGTAGGGAAGGGGAAACTGGTGTCCACTGAGGGGGTTGGGCTGGTGCGTGTTGATCCCAGATTTCCCAGATCTCCTTACCCCGATCGGGCCGGTGTCGGGGACAGCGTGCCGGAGTTTAAAAAGGAAAGAAAGGAACTGGGAGCGATTAGAACCAAACTCGGCTTGGAGTGGGAGCGAACGGGCCCATGAAGTGGGGCAAGCCTGGGCGGGAGACGGGTGTTGTTGCCCCAGGCCTCACGCAGGCCCTGGCCTCGCCCTCCGGATAAAGTCCGACCGGATTTTCTCGTGGGCGTTTTAAGACTTTTGTTGATCTGGTCACAGTCTGTCATTCATTCATCATTCATTCATTTAACATTCACTGAATACAGTAGTAGGCGGGCAGGTAGAGAAGTGATGAAGACACTCAATGATTCCTGATTCCTATGGTACAGGGGAAACTAGTGGTATGTAGAAGCCCTGGGCGGAGAACATGAACAGCTTCTGAAACTGAGTCATGAAGGCTAGTCAGGAATGGTGGGGAGTGTTCCAAAAAGAGAAGCCTGCAGCACGTGCCTAGCCTAGGGGCCGGAGAGAGGCAGATGTATCCTGGTCACTGAAGATAACCTCACTCTGAGTCTGTTTAGTGCCCAGGGAAGAGATGATGGTAGCCGAAATGAGGCTCCTGACAGCGGAGATGGAGAGAAATCAAGGAATTCAAAGCATTCTATATTTAATAGAAACTACAGGATTTGGGGAGACTGGGGTGTTGGAGAGAAGTATGTACAGGCTTGAGTGCTTGGGTGGGATTCATCAGAGGAGGAGCAGATTTGTGGGGAGACAACAACAAATTCTGTTCTGGTTCTGCAGAGACTCCCCGTAAGCAGTAGGTTATTAGAGTTTGGAGGTCAGGAAAACACCACTGTGAAGGTATAGATTTGAGTGTCCTCAGCAAAACAAATAAAGCCCCAAGGTTGAGTCTGCAGAATGAGAAAAACAAAGGGCCCAATCAGCACTTTACATAGTGATTATCTTCATGTCTTATCTCTCTTGTGTCCTCGGTACCTAGTCTAGGGCCTGGCATTAGATGCCGTTCAGTGTTTACCAAGTAGACAAGAGCCCAAGGGCAGGCAGAGATGTTGGGATCCCAGAGTTGTGAAGAGATGGGGGCTAATGGAGGGTTCTGTTCCTCTAATGTCAGTCATAAGTTCTTGTCCCAGTTCTGCCACCAGCCCGCCGTGTGACCTCCTGACAAGTCTTCCACCTGTAAAGTGGGTATAGCCAAAAAAAGAAGTTCCCATGTATAGAGCTCCAAACTCTGCTAAGGAACTACACACAGATTTTTTTCTCATTTAATCCACATGGTGACCTTATTTATGAAGGAAGTAATGTTATTATGGGCTCAAACCCGGATCTCACTGACCCAGAGCTTTATTATGACTCTATGAACTGCCCTTATCTCTGTTGTCAGGACCCCCTTGAAATCACACGGTCATTTTCTTTTGAAACATTATGCTGAGGCCAACAGACTTTCATAATTGGTTTAGCACCAGTTCTGTTAAAGGGAGAGGGAGACGGAGCTAAATGTGATCAAGTTACTTGGTGTTCTCTAGCTTCCTTTTTGGGGACCGCTGAGCTGGGTAACCATGTTATTTTCCTAAAATCCAGTAACAGTAGGGCAAAACAAAATGAATGACCGGCGTTCCAGATTTTTAATCAGATCTTCTTAAATCCCTGAGGCCTGCTGCAAAATCAGTGAGTATCAGGGTGTGAATTGGTTCATACCTGTGTGTCCCTGGACAGGCAGTTGGACTCCTCCTCCTATTACACTGGGCACTTGGGTTTTGGTTGTTTTTATCCTGCTAATGTGATTTCTCAGAAATATTTTGTCTTGGTGCTGTGATGATAGATGTCCATACAAGGAATGAAGTCATGTCCTGCTAGTGAGTTTGCTTCCAGTTAGTATGAGGGAGGAGTTCACCGTATCTGCATTTCATAGTATTCTACAAAGGGCTCCTCCTACCCACCCCTCCCATTTGAGATCTGCATGGGTTGTGAGCTAGAAGGGAAAATTAAAAAAAAAAAAAAAAAAAATAAGCAAAAAAGAATAGTAAATTTTTAGCAGACATAGGCTCCATTCCCAATGCAGGGCTTGAAATCAAGACCTGAGCTGAGATCAAGAGTCAGACACTTAACCGACTAAGCCACCCAGGTGCCCCAAAACAGAAATTAATAATCTATTGCAGTGGTTTTAAATTTGTTAAAAATACAGAGCTACAAAAAAAAAAAAAAAAAAAATACCCTCCCTCTCCTCAGACCTCTTGCATGAGAATCTCTGAGTGAGGCCCAGGAATTTGTATTCTTTGCCAAGCTCCCCAGAATATTGAGCCAGGTTTGGAAACCACTGGTCTGCTCCATCCCCCTGGTTTCACAGGTAGGGAATATGCAGCTACAAGGGGGAAGGAATTTGCCCCAATCACATATGACATTAGTGCCTCTTTCTCCAATGAAAACACTGGGCCTGGGGCACCTGAGTGGCTCAGTTGTTAAGCATCTGCCTTCTGCTCAGGTCATGATCCCAGGGTCCTGGGATCGAGCCCCGCATCAGGCTCCCTGCTCAGCCAGGAGTCTGCTTCTCCCTCTCCCACTCCCCCTGCTTGTGTTCCCTCTCTCGCTGTGTCTCTCTCTGTCAAATAAATAAAAATTTAAAAAAAAGAAAAGAAAAGCACTGGGCGGGAGTCCTGTGACCTGGGTTCAAATGCAGGTTTTACCAATCATTACCTTGGGCAAGTCATTTCACCATTCCGAGATTCCACTTCCTTACTGTGAGAATAATGCCGTCCTTGTGTTAGGAACCAAAAGAGAGAGTGGCAGTGGAAATGCTTCGTCAAGCTTTCCATTCTGCACTCATGGAAGTTAAGAGCTGCCATCCAGTGTTCACTCCTCTGTACCGCACCGCCAGTTTCATCCGTTGCTGGGGCCCAGGCCATCCATCACCAAGCCTTCTCCTCTCTTCCTGCTGCAGGTTGGGATGGCCACCGGCTGGGGGAGCATCTTGCGGGATGAGCAGCTGGAGGAGATGGCCCGGCAGGCTGTGGACCGCGCCCTGGCCGAGGGAGTGTTGCTGAGGACCTCACAGGAGCCCAGCTCCTCTGATGTAAGCCCCTGACTCCTCCCCACAGCACTGACCACTCCGCTCTGGATCCTAATGCTCATTATCTGGTCCCTGCCAGGCTAAAGGCAGCTCCTTTCTGTCAGAGACATCGCTTTTGATTTATTTTATTTTTTCAATAACTAAAATTGATCTCTAAATATATGTAGAAAGTAGCCTGCTAGAGGAATCAAATTTAAGTCTGGGGTTTCAAGTGTGACTTAGGCAGGATACATAACCTCTCTTAGCTGTGGTTTCTTCAAATAATAAAAAAGGGGACCTACCTCATCAAGTTGGTAATAGAATAAGAAGATAATTCACGTGAAGCACTTTTTCCAGTGAACTATTATTTTTTAAGACCCCCTAATCACACTGCGGGGGGTATATCTGTACAATTGGTTTGTGTATATCCTTCTCTGTGCATTTATATACATATTTGTGTATATAAAGAAATAACATGCTTTTCTTTTTTAAGTTTACTGGTGTTTTTTTGTAACCTCTACACCCAGTGCAGGGCTCAAACCCACAACCCCCAGATCAAGAGTTAGCCCCAAAATATATGGTTTTCTAAAAAATAAATTGGATCATATAGATCATGCAGATTACTCTGTTTTTGTTTTAAGTTTTTTTTTTTGTCAGAGAGCACAAGCAGGGGGAGCGGCAGGCAGAGGGAGAAGCAGGCTCCCCATTGAGCAAGGAGCCCGATGCGGGACTCGATCCTGGGACTCCGGGATCATGACCTGAGCCAAAGGCAGTCACTTAACCAACTAAGCCACCCAGGAGCCCTGTGATTTTGTTTCTCATTTAACAATCTGTTTTAGAACTCTTTCCAACTCCCTCCAGTAGGATTAGCTTCGTTCTAATACATGGTGTTCCAGGTATGGATGGATCACTGCTCAGCTTTCCTCTGTTGATGACGATTTAGGTGATTTCTAATGTTTTATGATTACAAATAGCACTCCAGGGAACAGCATACATGTCTGTTGGGTACCTTTATGAGTGTTTCTGTAGGGTTGATACATAAAGGTAGAACTGCTGAGTCCAAACCACATCTTTTAAAAGTCTCATCCTTTAAAAAAAAAAAAGTCGGGCGCCTGGGTGGCTCAGTCGTTAAGCGTCTGCCTTCGGCTCAGGTCATGATCCCAGGGTCC